GCGGCTCTACCCCAGGGGTAGGCAAGAAAAGCCTGGTCTGCTGGGTGGGGGGCACCAGCTGCACCCCCCCCAGCAGACCAGGGAGACGGGGGTGGCAGGACCGCCCAAGTCCTCCACGGCTTTGCTCCATCTCCCTGGTCTGATGACCTGGGAGATGCGGAGCAAAGCCGCAGAGCATGCGGGCAGCGGGACAGTCCAGGTGCGCCACGCTGTCCCACTGCGGGTGTGCTCTGCAGCTTTGCTCCCTGTCTCCCTGGTCTGCAGAGAGATGGGGAGCAAAGCCTTGGAGCACGCCTGCAGCTGGGGTTGGGGCTGCGGGGCAGCCCAGGCGTGCCTGGGCTGCCCCGCTGCCCAAGCCCCTCCGCGGCTTTGCTCCAAGTCTTCCTGGTCTGCAGACCAGGGAGACGTGGAGAAAGCCCCGGAGTACACGGGCGGCAGGACCGCAAGGTCCCGCAGTCCGTGTCCTCTGGGGCGAGCCCCATTCGTAACTGCGGATCCGACGTAAGTCGGATCCGCGTAAGTCGGGGACTGCCTGTATAGTACTTTCTGAATGCTTACTAGGCCAGTGTACTAAATATACAATGCACAATATAGCGGTATTCTATAACTATTAAATATTTATTTTGAAATAGATCAAAGTGCTTTGGATACTTAAAGATAGAAACATTATCTAAGAAAGCTATTACACTTTTACTGTTATATAATCAAAAAGTAAAATAACAAAATAAAATTATCTGATTTTGGTAAAAAATAAACACTAATACATATAGAAAAATAAAATTTTATTGAAACTACCTTCAAACTGAGTATTTTGTAGACGGTTTTCACTACTTTGCAATTTTACCAAAGATTTTACGTGACAGGTGTTTTTAAAGATAAAAAAAATCTCAGCATTCCTCTTATGCAGGGATAAATTGTGGTCAAGTCAGATATAAAAGCAAATGTTGAACAATGAGCTATGTTCAAACAAGATTCCATCTATCAGCACATCTCTTTGACTTGACTTTTTTCCTTATATAGGCCTCCAAATTATGAATAGGAGCTCATGGTACACTCAGGCTAACCCTATAGTAAGCATCTTATTTCCAGAAGGGTTTGCAAGATGGCTTCTCCTGGTGAGGACACACAGAGAGAAGATGGATGCCATATAATGATAAAGTTGGAGAAATGAACATACAAAATTATGTGTGTTTTATAACAAAATATTGGTTGTTATGTAATTTACTTAGGATTAGTATTAGAAATAGCTTCCTAAAGGAAATCCAGTAAAAAAGCTCTTAAGTTTTTAAAGGAATATATGGAGGCAACATACACATCTAAAATAAATATACCGGATGAGAGAATACTGATGGTTGGGAGTATTTTAGAGGAAGAAAAAGAAACCAATATGTTATTTTTTGGATATACTCTGGTTTAGATTTTATTGCTAAGTGTATAAGTGTAAAACTCACATCTTACAGAAAAACAGAAGCCTGTATACCTTTTTTTAGAAAAAAGGGAAAAACATATGTAAAGTGCAATAGGAATGGGAGCAGCTGGGAAGGTAGTTGAATTTAAAAGAAAATTGTCCCATTTTGTTCAGCCCAAAAGTCAGATGGACAACATATTTAAAACTTATAGCTGCAACGATGTCACACAGAAATATGAAAAAAAAAATCAATAACCTAACCAATAGCTATGCCAGGAAAAGTTCTTGTGTTAATGCAGTTACACTGGCAACAATTCCTTTAGGCAGTATATAGCTTATTCAGTCTGAAAAACTGGTATAAGCTATACCAACAAAAAGAGTTATTTTACTGGTATAAATTACATCTCCAGTAGGATGGTTTGATGGTTTAGCTATACCAGAAAACTATTTCTAGCATAGTTAGGACCTAAGAATTAATTGTCATGAGAACTATGTTTTAAGCCTATGGCTGGAGAGTGCCGTCTTGCAGAGGTTACAGCCACATAACTAACTAAATACAAATCTTTTTACAATTTGAGTTTAGCTGTAAGTTACAAAACTAATTATTGTAAAATGTGTTTTACACTCTGCATTGAAACATAAATCCATTTGTTACTTTTATTCAGTCTTACCATAACGCCAAAATTGCCTCTTTCTTTCTGTGCAGTTCCTTCACTTATGTCTGCTAAATTCGTCATACTACCACCATGAATTCCGTTCAGAGCTTCATTATTTTGTTCAATACTTTTACTGATTTCCTGGTGACTCTCTTGAAGTTGAGAAAGCTTACTTCTTGCCTAAATAATTAAAAATACTTCAGTATCATGCAGGATCAGACACAAACTTGAATGAGCAAGCAACTAGCTACTCTTTGAGAATGAAAACTAGTGCTCATTGAAAAATCTGAGTATTTCAGTTATAGGAGATTCTTGCCATTCATCGAATCTCTATTCACAGTTCTGCATATTTGCGAGTTTCCTCTCATATCAGCCTGGGAAGGTGGGGAGAGCTGGGAGTCCTGGCAAGTTCCCTGCAGCTTCCAGTTCTGCAGTGAGTTCGGGAGCTGCAGGGAGCTCATCACGCGGGCTGGGAGCCGCTGGGAAGCTTACCACAGCTTCTGGCAGCTGCCTGAGCTCCCT